GGATCATGACCTGAGCCGAAGGCAGTCGCTTAACCAACTGAGCCACCCAGGCGCCCCTCCAATAGAATATTTTAATGCTTTATTTTCTTTCCTGTTTTTGTATGAGAATTTTTTTCTAAACTGTAACATTTTACTCATCTGTACACATAAAAGCATTTAAGGAAGGGTAACATAACTACTATATTAGATTGGCAAATATTTTTAAAAAGACACTGTATTATTAGATTTATAAAAATATCAGTAGAATAATTATATAGATAAAACAACTGAGTAAACATCTTCCAAAGCACATTTGGCCTTGGAAAATTTATTTAATCTTAACTCATTAATTTTGGAAATCATATTAGTTGTGAACTTCCAGTATGACTGCAAAAGATATTAAATTGTCTTCTTCTAAAATATCACTTAATGATAAAGATTTTGCTAAGTAGGAATGGGAACCTCTCTCCTCATAAAACAGGGTGTTATGAGGACCCAAATACATAGGACGATTCAGGATATGATAAAATGATCATCATCAGTGATGGGAGAGGAGTGTATTAACAAAGTGACTAGGAAAAGAGAAATTTGAAAAATCATTTAGAAACAGCCTAATAGAAAATATATATTAATTGCATTAATTAAAATGTTTGAATGTATAAAATAATAGGTAAATTAGCAGAATATACTGTATTACCAAATAATGTATTAACTAAACAGAAAGTATATTATTAAAACAAAAGAAACATTACAATAAATGAAACTACCTATATAAAGAAATTCTTTTCAAAATAAATCTATAAAAATAAAATTCAAAATAAAAAACAAGACAATGAAAAATATTTCAATGTAACAAAGGGTGCGATCTATACTTTATTCTACTCACATTTTTAAGAACAATACACAAAGATTGATTAAAAAAGACTGTAAATGACAATTTAAGCAAGAATGAATTTCAGAAAGAAATTCTAAACACAGGCAAAGGTTTAACCTCTCGTTATCAGACCCTAAAATTAAAACAATGGTGAAATAATTAGTTAAAAATACATTTTTTAAAAAAGGAAAATAGCTAAGGGTAAAACTGACATCATTCTTTGCTCCTGTATATTGACATGAAATTTTGGTGCAATTTTATAATATACATGAGGGGTAACATATAGGATATTCATAACTTTGGCATGTTACTCAAGTCGGGGTCTTGTATTTATTGAGTACACTTTAGGTACATGATATTTTGTACTGAGCCTTTTATCTGGACCATTTATTGAATCCTTTCAATAGGTATGAGAAAATTATTGTTGCTATTCCTATTTCAGTTGTCAAAAGTAAGATTCTCGTGGATGGAACCGGAGGGTATTATGTTGAGCGAAATAAGTCAATCAGAGAAAGACATGTATCATATGACCTCACTGATGTGAGGAATTCTTAATCTCAGGAACAAACTGAGGGTTCCTGGAGTGGGGGTGGGGTGGGAGGGATGGGGTGACTGGGTGATAGAAACTGGGGAGGGTATGTGCTATGGTGAGCACTGTGAATTGTGCAAGACTGTTGAATCACAGATCTGTACCTCTGAAACAAACAACACAATATATGTTAAAAGAAGAAGAAGAAGAAGAAAGGAGGAGGAGGAGAAGAAGAAGAAGAAGATAGCAGGAAGGGAAGAATGAAGGGGGAAAATCAGAGGGGGAGACAAACCATGAGAGATGATGGACTCTGAAAAACAAACTGAGGGTTCTATAGGGGAGGGGGGTGGGAGGATGGGTTAGCCTGGTGATGGGTATTAAGGAGGGCATGTTCTGCATGGAGCACTGGGTGTTGTTATACACAAACAATGAATCATGGAACACTACATCAAAAACTAATGATGTAATATATGGTGATTAACATAATAATAATAATAATAATAAAAGATTCTGGTTGTTAATGAAAAACCCACATCTGGAAAATGTTAAGAAAGTCATGAAGTATCAATAAGATCAGCCGAGTAACATTAAAATTAATCGTTATAAATATTATTACAAAACATTAAGAGAAGTATAAGTTCTGCCTTGCATAAAAGCAAAACAAATTGACCAGTATTAAGGTGTGT